GCTGTACTGGTGGGGGGAAGAGACCTGTCCACAGCCTCACTGCCACTGTGGGGCCATGCTTGGTCCAGGAAAAGGGATGGCCCTGCCATATGACAAAAACCTCTCCTGCCATGTCAGATCCATGGGCTCATGCTTATTGGCATGGAGCCTGGAGAGCGAGTGGCCCCCGCCGCTCCTGGGGAGAGCCATTCCCGATCGGCCTGTGGCAGGGTTTGGGGGGGCTAACACTGGGTGCAGTGGGGAGTGCTGAGGGGGAGGGTTGAGAAGTTGGAGTCATGAATTAGTGCACCGGCCTTTCATGTCAGCAAAGCTGGGTTCAAATTCTGACTCCACTCACAAGTGAGATGAGTTTGCTGGGCTCTGCACATTCTGCCCACCAGCGAGACTGGCCTAATTCATTTGCTCACTAATGAGCACAGGTTCGGGCTTGGGGGCACCTCATGTATCATCTGCCCCCATCACTCTTCCCCTTGCTTTGAAGTCTCACGTCCCTGCTACCTTAGGAGCCTGAGCTGGCAGCCAACACCAGGGCAACATCTTTCAGATGCTGTTGCTCCTCAGGGCAGCTGTTTTCTAGTTCAGCTCCTCCACTGACCTGCAGAGACCTGGAGCAAGTCACATCACCTCTCTGCTCAGCTTCCCAGCTGGAAACTGGAGAGAATATGCAGCCCTCTTTTGCAAAGTGCTAGCAGATTTGCTGCTGGGCTACATCTACATTGGCAAGATTTTGCGCAAATACTCTTTAATGTAAGAGTTTTTGCATTAGAGTATTTGTGCAAGAGAGCGTCTACACTGGCATGTGCCTTTGCACAAAAGATGTGCTTTTGCGTAAGAGCATCCATGCCAGTGTAGACGCTCTCTTGCGCAAGAAGCTCCGAGGGAAGACATTCATGTTGCCTATCTACACTGGCCTCTTGTGCAAGAACAGTTACACGAGAGGGCTTATTCCTGAGCGGGAGCATCAGAGTTCTTGCACAAGAAGCACTGATTTCATACATTAGAACATCAGTGTTCTTGCGCAAGAACTCCCCGCCAGTGTAGACAGGCAGCAAGTTTTTGCGCAAAAACGCCCACTTTGGTGCAAGATCTCACCAATGTAGACACAGCCCTGGAGTTTGCTAGGTATTGGTACTACAACTGCATCCCTGTGGCAGCTTGAGCAGGGCGAGGCATTTCCTGGGCCCACAGTTTAGTGCCGCAGCCTCTCCCTCTGCCGCTCTCCCCATTCTCAGGATGACATAGGTGTGCCCTTTCCCTCTGAGAGCACCAGCTGCATGGGGCTGTGTCCCTGCTTTGTCTCTGTCTGGTTGTGAGAGAGGGGCCAGTTGGTCTCTGGGGCCCAAAATAGTTGCTGTGTTTCTGTCCTGCCCAAACTAAGAATTGGCCATGACAGGCAGAGTGGGCAGAAATTGCCACCTGACACCCCTCTGGGAACAGCGGGCAGCTGTTTGAGCTGTGTGGGGAACCTAGCTCCTAGAGAGACTGCCAATCCCAAAGAAGAGCCCATAGCCCTCCTCCCCATAAATCTGTGCAGCTTGGGGAAATGGTAGTGGTCAGCCCACGGAACATTTTGTTCTATTTTGGCGGCATTTCCCTTCCACCACTAAATTAGAACCAGCTGTAAGGCTGCAAGTCTTACTTGGACTCCCCCCTCCAGAGACCTAAAAATAACCAAGCAGGAGCAGCTGTTTAATAGAGATAGCTGGGGGGAGGTACCCCTTGGTCTGAGGGTCAGGACAACCCTCACTCCATGTTTCCCCAGGGAGCCAGGCTCTAACCTGTTGCAGGTTCTAAATGATACTCTAAGAGCCCCAGCTCAGGGTAGCTTAAACCCTGGGCTGTAATTCCTAGCCTTCAGCCATCTCGGAATAGCTGTTCCCATGCCACCGGGCTGCTGTGAGCCCTGCGGAGCTCCACCTGGGAGACAGCGATCAGGGAGAAGTGGACCGGGCATACACGGACAGTGAAAGAAAGAGAGAACAAATCCGTAGAGCTACACTGCTGGTGGCTGCATTTCAGTGATGAGGGAGCGATCCCTGTGTCTACTGTGGAAGGAGGAAAGGAGCCATACAACGGCGGGTTTGGCTCGGAGAGCTCCCAGGCACTTCCTTGGGGGAAACAGCGGCACTGAGGGCTGGAGGGAGTTTCTGCAATACCCTAAGCAATCACAGTGCAAACCCCGCATGAAAAGCTGCAAGCAAGGCCCCCAAGCTGCACTGGCCACAAAGGGAGGGCTGCCCAAGGAAATCCGTTAGGCTGCTTAGAAATTGTCCTGCTGGAACCAGCCATTCCTGCCTTTGGAAGGCAAGCAAGGCTAAGGCAGCTTTGAGCACCAACAGGCACTCAAAGTGATTGAAGTGTAGCTGTGTCGATCGGACCCATTCCCAAGGAGCAGGAGTTTATCATCTCCCCACAATCCCTGGGTTGCATTGAGAAATCTTGGTTCCTCCAGATTGGGGCTAACTGCCTTTGCCAATTTACACTAGCTTCCTATCTGCCCCTAGTTCCTGCTCCTGGCTTGACTCCATCTGGAGCCCACATGCTGGCACCAGAGTGAAGCAACAAGGTTGGAATCCACCCCCTCATTCCCACTCCTAGCACCTATGGTACTTCTTCCCTCCCGCTTCTGCCCCATTGCTGCCCAGCTTTGTGCACTGGGGGATCGTGAGTGACTGCAGGACTCTTTGCATGGAGGGGGGTGTGAAAACGGGGGTTTTGATGCTAGTTTCAAACATGCAGGGAGCAAAGGATTAGGCCCTGGGGCAGGGCTGGGTGGGGAGAGCAAGGAATGTAGGTGTGTGCGGGGATCGGTGAGGCGTGGGGAAAGGGAGATGATCTGTGAAGGGGTGGAGCGAGGGCACCTTAAGGAAGCAGGAATCAGTGTGGGATCCCCCTACCTTGCTACCACTATGCTGGTGGAAGGCTTGTCCGGCACTGCCCCCAGACAAGGGCTTTTCCATCTGCCCCATCCAGGCACTTGTGGATCAGAGTTACCAATACCAGGAGAATGGAGGTTGTTCATAACTCAGGCAAAGTCTACACTAACACTTTACGGTGCTGTAACTTTTTGGCTCAGGGGGTGACAAACACCTCCCCTGCCCCCAAGCACAGCAAGCTACAGCACTATCCAGTGCCAGTGTGAACCAGGCTACAGCAAGGTGCCCAGCACTGTTTTTGAAGTGATGCCGGGCCTGCACTTTACATTTTTAATTGTAGACAAAGCCTCAGTGTTCATAACTGTGAATGAAACATTAGAGTTGTTCCTTCAAATGCTTGACTTGGTACAGCTTTGAAACTGGACCATGCAGAAGAAAAATGCTGCTTTTAATCGTTTAATTTAAATGAAACAGGGGCTGTTTCCTTACTGTCTCAAGGGCGTAGTTTTAAAACTTTCCCTTTATGTTTTAGGAGTTCGTGTTTAACCCAGTACTGCATTGTACAGTATTGGCTTTGGTGGGTCTCTGCTGCTGCCTGATTCTGCATTTCCTGTTCCAGACAAGGTACGTGGCTGACACACCTGAGCTATGAACTGGTATGTGGAGCTCTGAGGTTCTGCTGTAGCGCCTTCCTCTTCCTTCCCCCATGGTCTATATCAGAAGGCAGCCCTGCCTGCATCACCTCCCTGTAATATGACGTTTGCCCTGACCTTAACATCCCCCTCTGAGGAAGGGGATAGCCTGCATTGGAGCTCTTGGATTCTCTTGCTTCAATAATGCCCTTCCTTGGGACCAATTTATTATCAAAAATCCCAAGCCAGAGTCCATTTATCATCCCAGAGCAAGCAGGCCAGAAAGTCCTATGTCTCCTCAGCCATAACACATTCCAGCATCGTCTGCCACCCCCAGACTCCATCCTTCCTCCTGTCCCTGTGCTGGGAGAGCCAGCCCAGCCCTTTCTCCTAGGGTGCAACCCCAGTCCTTCCCAGCAGGACCACCCCAGCCTCTTTGCTGGGAACATCTTTGCCCAGGAAACATCCTTCACTCTCCCCCAGCCCTCTCACAGTTCCTCTGGCACCAGCTTTGCAGCCCTCTAGGTGACAGCAGGTAGGCCCTTCCCTTGCTCCTCTGCCTTCTCTTGTCCCCAGCTGCTGCTGCTCTTCCTGCCCCTAGCCCTGGCTCTTTGGCTTGGGGATGTCAGCCAGCAGCAACTCCTCTTGTTGCTTTCCTGCCTTCAGCCCTCTCCTAGGCTCCAAACATACAGGCTCTGGTAGCACCAACTTGCCTCTGTCCTTGTTCCAGTAGTTGGTGCTGCCAGGCAGCCCTGACTCACTAGGCCTGTCTCTCCCAGATCTCTGACAGCCCCCAGTGCTCCCCTCCCCCCCCTTTGAATTGGTATGAGGCACAGGTGGGGCCTTATCAGTTTGTGGCAGCTGAGCAGGAAGAGGGTGGTTCAGACTCTGGAGGTTGCCAAGTAAGGCCGGGGTCTGCCTGCTATGGTTCTATGGAAGCAGGACCGTGAGACACAGGGCTGAACCCTTAAGCCCAAGGTACAGTTCTGGATGCTGGGCAGGCACTGGATATTTAATAGACCAATGTTAACTCCATAGCAGTGCCTCATCCTGTGAACCCCCAGTGACCTAACTTACCCCTGAAGTGCCCTACGGATGCATCTTCTCTGAGCAGGGTCCAACCTCTCCTCCTCCTCCTCCTCCTCTCCTCTCCTCAGGACTTGGCTCTCCTTGTTGTTGCTGTGCTAACCACTTCTGCTTTCTCAGAAGCCTGTTCTGACCTCCCAGGGTCCTTCTTCTTGCAATCTTAGGGTTTGGGTAGGAATGGGTCATTGAGGCCGATTGGTACCCGTGAGCGAATGGCTCCCTGTTCTTTACAAGCAATTTCTGTCTCAGACCTGACAAACTCACTCCACCTCACACACTATTTTGTGGGTGTTTATCTATGAAGGGTAGCGTGTGCTGTCTCTACTAAATGCGTGTAGCTTAGTAATGCTTGTAACCATTGTGTGTGTGGGTACTGTTAAAGAATAATGTAATTCTGTTAAAAGCTGTGTCTGGTGGTCTTAGTAAAAATGAGCCGCGGGGAATCCTGCATCTTGTTGCTGGCCCATTCAAGTGGAAGGGAGTGTGTAACCTGTTACTCAGTTGTCTGCAGTTGATGGCTTTCCATTGGCTGTTTGCAGTTGGTGCAAAGACAAACCACATAAACATCGAAACCACTTGAAGGTTGAAAGGAAATGGGAACAGACTGAAAACAAAATTCTGGTTAATTCTATCAGGGGGTGGAGAAAGATCCCCAGCATCCATTCACTGAGAAGACAACTTGTTGAGCAAAGGTGTGCATAAAAGACTGGATCCTGGTTCCCCTGAAGCCAGCCAATTCTGCAAGAAACTAAGCGTTAGGGGAGGTAACCTGCTGTATTTGCTAAGAAGGCTGGTGGTGTCAGGGAGCTACTACCTAGCTATCCCAGGCAAGACTCCCTTGCTCTGAAGTCAGTGGGTGGCAAGTACTGTGTACCCTGAGTATCATCCGAGTTGGTTCTAGGGGAGAAGACCGGCCCAGTCTGCAAATCAGTTCAAATGCACATAGATCTTTCCTTCTGTAAGCTAGCAGTTTGCACATCCCATCCTTCCCAAGGGTGCCATGAATGGTGTGGGAAAATAGAATATGGAAATATAATTCATTCCTTCACTAACATCACAAAAAAATCTGACCCAATTACATTTATAGGAAGCAGAATTAAAACAAACACATTACATTATTTTTTTTCACTGTCAACTTGTGGAACTCTGCCAGGGGATGGGGGGGGAAAGGCCTAAACTATCACAGGGTTCCAATCAGAACAAAATAAGTTCAAGGAGGATAATGAAATCAATCATCAATGGCTACTAGCCAGAATGGGCAGGGACGGTGTCCCTACCTTCTGTTTGCCAGATGTTGGGAATGGGCAACAAGGGATGGATCACAGTGATTGCCTCTTCTGTTTATTCCTTCTGAAGCATTTGCCATTGGCCACTGTTGGAAGACAGGATACTGGACTAGAAGGGCCATTAGTCTGACCCAGTATAGCCATTCTGATGTTTTTGTATAGAGCCCAAATGTATCTGCCCACTAGATCCCACTCCCCTTCCAGAGCTCAGGTAGAGCCCAGAAGTCCTGACAGGGTCTCTCTCTCTCTCCCTCTCTCTCCAGAGAGTTAGTAACAAAGTAAGCATATTAAAATGTTAAGGCTAACTTGTGTCCCTTAAGTGACTTGCCACAAGATGTCACAATATGTTAGTGTTAGAGCTGAGTGGGTATCTAATATTTATTTAATTTTCTTTCTTTTATAGAGGAATTAGATACAGTGCTCCTGTCAGCTAACTGCTAAGTTGTCTGCCAAAAAAGTAGAGTTTTCCAGTGCCTTAGTAGCCAGCCCCTGGATAGAGATGATGTGTAGAGAGAAGGGAGGGCAAATGGAGTTAGTCCCCATCCCAATTTGGTGCTTGGCATGTACTGAGCAAGCTCAGTAACACTCCTGAAGGCTCTGTCTTCAGTCCACTCCCCCACCCTGCTCTCACTCTCTTTCCCCCCCCCCCCAT